GCCGAAAACAACAGTAGTAATAACAGCCATCAAAGTAGCTTCGATACAAATTCATCAGGTGGAGGCCTTCGTGATCCCATCACCTCTTCCATGAAGATCTTAGCAGACCCTCTCTCAAAGCCATGGCCCCCAAAGCCACCAGTCGAGGCCAGCGTCCATGGTGCGGTCATGCAGTTCATGGAAAGCCAGGAGGATGGACGTCAGCGGCGGTTTCATCACTGTAGCGGGATTTCGGAAATAAGTTGTCCGTTCTCGAGGATTCTTAAGTTAAGCATCTAGTCACTCCGGAGAGTTGTTCAGGGTTTAACAAAGCTAACGTCCATTATTTCCTTTCCGATCATGCAGCTCATGGAAACAAGCGGGCCGGAATGTGAGTGGCGAGACCCTTCAACTCATTCGGCTTGAAGGGGAGCTGCGAGTGCCGACGACACCGAACTCTGAGCAGTTTCCTAGCGTCCTGAGCAGAGTGACACCTTATCGCCAGAACGATCCGAGCAAAGGCTGCAATTCTTGGCATGCTCGGCAGTTGGACAAACATTGACATATGTGTCACTGCGTCACCCCATCAGAGGCTGAGAAAGCTTTAAACTTCAGAGACCCTTGCCCCCCATTGTTGTAGAGGAGGGTTCTGCGACGCAGTCCTCCAAGCTGCCGCCGATGAGGTGAGGGAGGGATATCGGCTTTGGGAGTGAGGCAGACTTGCCTTGTCTCTGCAAGCCCCCAAAAACTCCAAGCCACTTACAGTGACGGAAAACTGCTAATCAGGGCGCCCCTGCATCGTCTTCTAAGGGTTGGCTTCCATGCGCAACATTGCCTCAAGAGGAGCTCTAAGTAGAAGCTCACCTGACGAACTGGGCTTTCCTTTCTTGAGATACCCAAGGAGTTGCAGGGTTTTGGGAGGAAGCCAGTTGCTTGTGGCAGGGATCCAATTCTGGGAACTCGGATATGCGTCAGGGTTTGGGGCTCGCCCTTTCGACCATCCGTTAGCTTGGGGGACGTTCTGTTTATTCGTAGAGGAGCCGGATGCCTGGAATGCCCTTAAGGCAGCTATCGGGGAGAGCAGCTCTCGTTTGTGGGTGTATCGCTGCCTTTCTATTGACCCAGTAGTGTTGGGTTTCGTTTGCATCTGCCCGGCGAGAAGCCACGAGCGAGGTGCCGGATGATCGATCAGAGCTCCAAGAAGTACAACATCGCTCACCTGGCGGAGCGCCTTGGCCGCCTTGGCCCTCAGCCAAGCTTCGGGCAACGTGCCCGGAAGAGCAACACTTGGAATAGCTCTCTCGAGCCGTTTGCTTTTGCTTTAAGGATCCGTTTTCGGCGAATGATACAGCATGCAGAAGCTGCGGCATGCAGAGCTCATGACAACAAGGATTACAGAAACACGCGCGGTCTCCAACAGAACTGCAGCTCTAATGATGGCAGCGGTATTAAGAAGGATAATTTTCAAGCCGTTATGTGCGTCCAGTCATCTTTGCAAGGCGCAAGGCTTTGGAACCTCGCACTGGGCGTACGTCAGAAGCCTTGTTTCCTTGCAGTTCCGTGTTATCACTAGCCCAAACCCCTTTTCTGGCTATTCGGGCCCCAACACTCAACCCCTGTAGAACCCATACAATAACCATTCTTGTCGCCTCTTAAAGGAAGCCTCGTCTAAGTGGGAAGCTCCCTACCTCAAGGGGTTTTCCAAAAAGTAAAAAGACATTCGACTTCGCCTCGAGGCCTTTCGAAGGTTTAGAGTGGGACCTGGTTTCTTCACTGAGGGTTTAGGTTTGACGGTATAGGGTTAAGCTTGAGGGTTTAGGGCCTAGGGTTCAGAGGAACGCCAGGCTGTCCGAAGCATTGCGAGTCTTTGTTGAGACCCACGTTGGGTGCCCCCGAGGATATTGCCACATCGCGGAGGTGGCAACTTGGCTCAGAGGTGGTTAGACGTGTAGAGTGTGGAAGCCGTTTGGCGAGGTTGGTCTTTCAACGAGGGCCACTCCAGGTTACACGTCGACACGTCGAGCTGACTGGGTGTACTATACCTCAATCACCAGACCCGAAAGCTCAAAGCCACGCCGCAAAGGCCACGCTCTGCACATGATCTGCCAAGACAGCTTATTGCTGACATCTGAAGACATCCGTTTTCGGGGTGGCAAGCGGGATGGTGACAGGAGCACGGGACGTCGCAGAGTCCTGCGGACCTTCTTCTTTCTCGTGTTTTCGAGAGCACCCTAAACAAAGACACTTTCTTCACGACGGCCTTTCCCTACTTGAAGGTCCGACCATAAGAGCCCCAAACTGCTGCAAAACCCGACTCCAATGTCTTTCAAAGTTTATGGGCCCCGCTCACGCCGACAGGGCTTTACCAGGGCCTGTAATTACCTATGCGACCACTCTTTTCTGCAAGAGGCTATTCAGTCAGAGAGCCCTCTCACAGATGTACATGCTAAGGCAAATTTCGGCTTGCCGGCTCCTTCTTATCCTTATAACATGATAAACTCCAGAATCCTAGTCAGACTTTTTTAAGGCCCCCCCCCTTGGACCTAAGCCCGAAAGCCAAAATGCGGCTTATGCAGAAGGAGATGCACTCAGGTTCCAAGCCCTGGAGGCCCCAAACTTCCCCGATAACCCATAACTCCTGTCGCCCTTTAAGGCTTAGAGGCTCTTAGGGTTAGGCTTTCCATGTAATATAGGGGCCTTAACAATTACCTATACTGTTTTTGGGGGTTCCTTATTTCTGTTATAGAATCCTTCAGCAACCCTTGATCCGAAATCCCATGCACCTCGGTCTCCCGTGGCGATGCCGGAGGCAAACATAGAAAGTCCAGAAACCCCCCCTGAGCCCCGCAAACACCACCAAACAGCAAAGAAGCCTTGAATTCACTTGCCCTTCTACTGCAGGGGCTCAATGGTTAGCATTGGGTTATGTATCGAATACTCAAACCCTATACCTCCCTAGCAAAACAAGCCTTGAAAGCCAGCTGATCAGAGGCAAGCTGTGGCTTCGCTTGGGCGAGCTGGAGGAAGGCCCCGGTCACCCGATGGGTCGTTGCAATCTACATGCTTGAACAAATAGAAATATACAGGTTACAGGTGTTGTAGGGTTCCCTGTTACATTGGTATTGTACGAATCCTCAAAAACCTACTCTACATACTAGGGCCCCCTGTCAATCGCGTGCATTCAGCCATGCCTTCGTTGCAGAGCTTCTGGGTCGATCCTACTTCAACTGGGGGTTAACGCGTCTGGGAGGTTTGGTTTTGCAGGAGGTTGCGGGTTCGGAGTTTCGACAGGTCTTGGAGCGCATAGACTGTGAGGGACGGATTCCAGCCAAAAAGAAGAACGCTACACAAAACATTACCGTGGGGGCACTTCTGTCCGACATGTCACCGGTTGGGAGCAAATTCCAAGGTTTCAGGACAAGTTGCCAAGGGGATGTAAACCCCTGCGCCCCAAATCTCCTAACCCCTAAACCCTCTAGAGCCCTAAGCCCCAAATGCTCCCCCGCCCCCTGTGTTGTCTTCCGAGCTGTGAAGCGATGAGCTCCGCTAAATCAGCTTCAGGCACGGGGTCTCGCGAGCAGTTCCTCTTCCAGACGCGGGATCGGCGAAGACGAGGGGCCCTGGATGCTCACAGTTCCGTAATGGACTAATCAATTGAGCTGAAGATTTTTTGCAGTCTCCCAGTACGTGGACTTCTGAGTAGTCAGCATGCACCGGTGCATTGTCTTCATCAGCTGAAACCTTCGTTAGTTCGCTCCTTCGCATAGGATTGCGCGAGGGAATTCGACGCCGTCTCACATTTTTGGAGCTGAAACCTTGAAGTCTTGGGACTTCTACCTTGGCACCGAATGCAGGTGGGTCTGGTTGGGGCCCAACCGTTTTAATTTGCCTTTCAGGCAAGACACGATCCCTGCTTTGCCCGCTCTCTTTCCGCACAAAACAGCACATTTTCGGCACACTGTTGCTGGACACAGGCCTAAACTTAGGCGGCTTAGGGTTTCCCTGTGCGACATGGGTCCGGGATTGCCCCTCCTTTGCTGCATAGTGTGCATCAGCAACGATTCCACGATGGCTTGGGTTTCTGAGTTTTGGCTCATCTTCACCCTAACCCCTGAGCCCTGACCCTCCGAAAAGTCCGATGCACTCCTCCTACTAACACGAAGGGAACTTCCTGGAGAGTCCGAGCAGATAGCAGCGCTCTCGAAGCCCCGGGCTGCTGCAGAAGAAATCAACACAAATGGCCTCCGCTCCTGCACCATAAAGCCCGAAAGCCCCGGTTTAGGGTTTACCCTAACCCCAAACCCACAGACCTCGCCTCCATTGCCCGAGTTGCGAGAGCTTCAAGCCCGAAAGCCCATCGTGAGCCCCCGGATGCGGAGCCGCGAGCCTCTCGTAGACTTCAGCGAGCCCGAGGTTTCCAAGCTTGCCGGCTGCCGTCCACGTCCGGCTGACAGCTGGGAATCTGAAAAAATGCAAGCAAGGCTTACGGCCTCGGGTGTGCAAAGCTTCAAGTTCAACTGCACGAAGGCCTTTGATGTCAAGTCAACCACCAACATCTGCATGCCGCAAGTGTCACCTTAGTGCAACCAGTGCGATTCGTGTCCTCTTTCCTGTTTTGACGTAGTGAATTGGATGTTGACGCAAACTGTGACTTCTTCTACCGCGGTTCTACCAGGCACGGCTTTCTTGCGATCTTGCTGGTGGCTCTGAGTATCCCACTTCGTTCTGAAAAGGTTTTCCTGTCTCAAGGACTAGAGGAGTCTAGATTTGCCTACTCTTGCTCATGGTGCTAGCATGTTGATCAGTAGCTCTTCTGCGGGAGCTACTGTTTATGATGGATTGAAATTCGCGGTGCTGTGATCGGAAGTGCTGACCCTTTCTGGCTTCCTGATTCTACTGTAGCGGGTCTCTTCTTACGCAGCAGGTATGTGTGCTCGGCTCGCTGCAGCCGCTGTTGAGGTCTTGAGGTACAAGTCCCGAGACTCAACTGCGAGAGCGGAGGGGTAGAGCGGACTCACCAGATGGCCGGAACTGATTCCAGCGTCGCACCGCCCGTGCTGTTGGGCCGGGCGACAGCGCGCGACGGGCGCCGGCTGACGAAGCCTTCGCACCCAGCCCGACCTGGGTTTAGCAAATTGGGCGTTAGCAGAGAAGAGAGTACAGTACAGAGGATCAGGGACTTCAGTTCCTCAGACCCTTTAAACGACCTCGGCAAGTAGACCACAGCGGAGACTTGTCAGCTCAGCATTGTCAGAGTCAGGATTGCTTGACAAATCTCGTACTTCCACAGCTTCGCATCTTGAAGCGATTTTGTAACAACCCGCACGAAGGCTTGAAACAAGCCGACAAACCTTGGCCCCAAGTCGAAACCCTAAAGCACAGCCCCAGAGATGCACCGTAGCCTTTGACCCTTGCCACATGCCTCGGCCTGCAGCTCAGCAGTAGGAAAAATCAAGCAGAAAGACCCCACCCCCTTGCCAGAACCCATCCCTGGAGCCTCGCAGCCGCAACAACCAACTCCACCGGTCGTGTAGAGCAAGAACAACATAGGAGCCGCGGGGTGAAGAACCGGGAAGCTTGGGAAGGTTTGGAGACGGCTCTACTGGCTGCGATTCGGTTGGGCATGAGTGTCATGTTGCAAAAGAGGGAGTCTATGACGAGCTAAAATGAGCGAGGCAGACTCGACAGAACGGAACAACAGCTTTGCGTTCGGAAGGTATAGTAACTATAGTAGACTGAGTTCTGTAGATTGGCTGTCAGTAGCAGTGCGATGTTTATCTCGATTCGTCCGTGTTACCATATCTATGAATGACACCCCGTGCGATTAGCATCAAGGAATACCCCCTACCAGCATAGTTGCAGACTGCAGTTGTGCTACGGTTGATGATATACATCCTGCATTACCCATAATTAGGAATGTACCCTAATTGCCACAGTTTAGGGTCCTTAAGGTAATGCAGGATTTATATCATCAACCCTAAACCCTATAGATCCCTTAAAGGAAGCCCTTAAAGGTACCCCTATAGATCCCTTTAAAGGAACCCTAGGGATTTATATCATCAACAGGAGTTCTTGGTTTCCATCGGTAGAGATGCGCCGTTCAATCGGGCTTGCCGGGCCCGAGCCCATAAGACACAAAGCCGAAGGGACGCCCCACACCTCCTTAAGCTCTGAACTCCCAAAATTTCAAAACCACAAAACCCAAAGCCTCGCACATTATTAAAAAAAGTCTAGTCTAGATCCTGAACCCAAGAATCGGATCAAATTTGCTTGTTTTGATGAGGATTCCGCAAGCTCCGGCTGCGGCACTCGGGGAAGAGTCAATCACTGAACCGCGGCTATGATGCAGTCAGGGCATAAAGAAGGGGATGTCTGGACGGCTGGGTGCCTCAGGGTCGCGAGCACGTAAACTTCGTTTTGAAGCATCCGTCATCCGTCAGCGGTTTCAAGACCTCGGCTGACTCTTCATCTGAAGCCCTCGATGCAAAACAACACGCGCATGTGCGGCATCCTCCCCAAAATCAGAAATGCCGACACGATCTTTGGGAGCTGCCAGCTGTAGAATCGCACGCACAGAACGGGGTTCGCAGCGACTAAGTATGGCAAGTCAGTGACTGGAGTCTGTGGCTTGCGCATGGGCCAAAGCCCTTTCGTCAAGGCAATGAGGCCACATAATCATCAACGGTATCTACGGTGGCAGGTGTATTCATCGCCAGATGCGATTTCTTAGAACAGTTTGTCAAAAAGTTGTGTTTGTCTGTGCTTGCCCGGTCCGAGAAGGAGCATGTGCCAGGCTTGCATTTTCGAATGCCATTCCTCACCACTCAACAGCTCATGGGGAGCACAGAACTTAGGTGGTGCTGTGCCAAGGGCTGCTGCGTCTTGGTCATCGTTCTCCTCAGCGCCTTCGGTGCACTGTATGCTGGCCAGACATACGACACCGGAGTCTGGGATTCTTGGCGCGATGGAGCGAGGGTAGCATTCTCTTTTGAAGGTTGCGTCGGCAGGAAACCCCGGCCCATGATCAATCCCTCTCCTGTCTACAGACCTCGCCTGGTATTCCCGAGTGAGAGCGTCAAAACCACAAGTTCTGAGCAAGTTCTGGAAAAGAAAAATGCTCGCAGGAACCGAGCATCCCATTTGGGGTTCTGCTCCTATCTGCAGCAGTCGCGGGATATACCGCGATATGGGTGGGGCTTTCGGCACCGACGACTCATATTCGGGGAGCTGCTTGCTTTTTGGTACTTAACTGGATGGAAGGCTTGGTGTCCATCACCCTGGCTATCTCGGTTGATTCAGCCATCTATACCATTCATTCGTCGAGCTTCGGCAATGCCGCTGAAGTGGAAATGGAAATCCAGCAGTCCCATGCAGCGCGGTCCGTTCTCCTCTTCCTCCGGGTTCTGCTACTGTGTGCTGAGCTCATCTGCCTGCAGCTGCTGATCCAGCATCGTCTGAAAAGCATTTGGCCGGCTATGAACCTGCCCCGTACAGCGACCTGGATGGTGAGAGCACTGAGGATGGAGACACTCTTTGCATTGATCGTTGCCGGCATGACTACGTGTGTCTTCCTTGGTGTGGACATTCCAGCTGCCTCGTTACTCGTTCTCTTCTTGCCGCCTTCTGTGGTGCTTTGTTGCTTCCTGCTGTGGGCACTGATTGTGGCTTTTGTGATGTGGCTGACAGCGGGAATCTTCAAGAAAACTCAGAGCCTTGCCACAGCCAGTGGTGCCGGAAGGGAGGTCACTGAGCTGATCAAGAAATGTCGCAAGGGGGTTCGCTTGCAAAGCTCTGGTGTTCTGATCAGCCTCGTCTCGACTGCGGGGCTTTGCATCCTCGTTGGTGCAACAGCTTGCCATGTGCTGAGCTTCCGCGAACCTCAGTGGGGTAATCTCTCACATGAAGATACCCTTCATGTGCTTCCGAAACAATGGATGCAAGTCAGCGTCGTGGCATCTATCGTCAATGTGCTCTTGAACACCGCCGGTGCTGTTCTCCTGTCGGGCGCTTGTCGTGCTCGGCCGGGCACAGACCCACTGCCTGTAACGCGGCGCTGCCCACACAGAGCTACGTGTGGGCAGTGCCCGTGTCGTTTGCGCAGAGCACCAGGCTACTTGGAGAAAGGGGTCGGATGGAGGACCAAAACCGAGGAACTTGCAGGCCGCGGCATTTCTTTGCAGCAGCTCCTTGAGTTCTACAATCTCCTCGGGAGTTCGGTCATGCCATCCTATCAACCAGGCAGGCATACAACAAATGACGTCGTTCGGCTTGCCATCATCCCTCTGACCTCAGCCGCCAGCAGTTCGTATGCAGAGATGATCAACAATGCCAGACCTGTCATTCCCGGAAAGATGGTGACCCATAACTGGTCGAATCTTTTCAGGGACATGCTTGCTGCGGTTCTTGCAGATGCACTTGGGGAGCACACTTTCGATTTCATTGCGAGGCTGCTCAATGACGGTCGTGTTGACCTGCTTGAGCAAATTCTCCTGGCTCACGGGTGTTTGCATGACACCTACTGGATATGTGCTTTTGCTGTGAATCAACACGCGGGCATCTGTGGCTTGGCCAGAGCACGGGAAGTGACGCAAAGTGTTTGTATCTACGGCTTGTTGCCAGTTTCGCTTAGGAGCTCTTAGCCTCAAGCAAGCCTCTTTTCAGTACAGGCGGAGGAAACCCACGTGGTGATGTTGATCCCGTGACGGGTCTTCTTCACCCTACCTGCTCATGCGGAGCACCCAAGTACTTCAACCAGACGCCGCCTCTGACAGAATCTGGGGCGAGCATCAACTGTGAGATGAACAAGTTCGACGACATGATGGAGTATCTTGCCCACCAGGCCATAACGAATCGTATTTGCGGTGAGGGAATGTCGGCCGTAACAAAGTACTGCCGGGCATTGGTGGTTCTGTCTAAGCGCCGGCCGTAAATCGTGCGTGACAAATCCTATGAGCAGATGCCAGCCACATGAAACCGTACTGCCGATTTTTGCTGGCTTGTTTCCCCAAAGCCGAAAAGAATGGCGAAGGACCGAAGCTTCGCCGAAGTTGTGGCTGTGGATGCCTGCTTCGACCTCTTCTCGCGGGCCCCACCCCCAAAGCTTCGTGGGGTTGGGGCTTGGGATCCCGCAAGTATAGGGTTCATCAGTGCCTGGGGTTCGCCGCACTTGCTTCCGGCAGCGACTAAGCGGAGGTTTCATGAGGGATCTTGGGCTCTTAACAGTTCAGCTCTTCTAGGGCTGAGCGGTCACTTGTGCAAAGATTTGCCCGTTCGCTTGTGCAAAGGCGTGCCCGTTCGCTTGTACGCGCGGAGGTGCGTTTTGTGTTGGCAGGGCCAATGAATTCGGACTTCGTTACTTGTAACTTCGCGATGTTGGGGAGGTCTGAAAGTGCACGAAACGTCGGCAGGGCCATGGTTTCCGGCTCTGGGCGTGCATGCTGGAAATCGCGCTTTTTGGTTCCGAAGTTGTTAAAGTGCTGGCAGGGCCACAGGATTCGGCTTCCCCGCGTCGGTCTTTAGCCCCTGTTTTCAAGCATTTGAACCCCCCCTGGGACCAACCAGAACGTACTGCGGCCAACGCGACTTCTCTTGCTCCACGCGCCAAACACGGACGTTCTTAGCCCCCCACCCCACCCCCCCCACCCCCCCCCCAAGAACCAACCGGAACGTGAATTGCGAGCCTCCAAGAGTGCGTCTCCCGCGGGAGCGTCAAACACGGACGTTCTCAGCATGCTGGGGCCAACGAGAATTCTTTTGCTGCACGCGACAAAAACACGGACGTTATCAGCCCCCCACCCCACCCGCCCCCCCTGGAACTAACATGAAAAAAATGGTTCTAAGTCCCCCACGTCAAACACGTCGAACACGGACTTTAATTATTAGCCCCCCCCTGGAACCGACAAGAACGTGCTGCTGCCAGCGACACTGCTCTTGCTGCACGCGTCCAACACGAACGGTATTAGCCCCCCACGCCACACCCACCCTCCCCCCCTGGGACCAACAAGAACGTGCTGGTGCCAACGCAACTTCTCTTGCTGCATGCGCCAATTACCAACGTTCTTAGCCCCCCACCGCACCCCCCACCCACCCGCCCGCCCATGGGACCAACCAGAACGTACTGCTGCCAACGCGACTTCTCTTACTCCACGCACCAAACACGGACGATAGCGCCCAGCCCCACTCCCCCACCACGGACGTTATTAGCCCCACCCCCCACCCCACCCCCCCAGCCCCACCCCTTCCAGGACCGACCAAAACGTGCTTTTCCAGCCTCCAAAAGTGCGTTTTCAATGGTTCCACTGAGAGTGCCCTTGCTGCACGCGTCAAACACGGACGTTATTAGCCCCGACCCCACCCCCCCACCCCACCCCACCCACCCCTGCAGGACCGACCAAAACGTGCTTTTCGAGCCTCCAAAAGTGCGTTTTCAACGGTTCCACTGAGAGTGCCCTTGTTGCACGCGTCAAACACGGACGTTATCGGCCCCCGAAGCATGCTCTGAAAACTTCTCCGGAAACCAACGAAAACATTCTTTTCGAGACTCCAAAAGTGCATTTTCGATGGTCTGTCAGATGTTTCCTAATACAGCTCAAAACGCACTTTTCGGCCAGCACTTGCCAACTGGGCAAGTGCACTTTCCTATGGTTTTTACAATGGATTCGGCACTTTCGCGCGCAAATGCCGTCAATTTCGGCTAACTTGCGAAGTGGACTTTCCTATGGTTTTAATAATGGATTCGACACATTTCCAAGCTTGTTGAAGCCATTTCCGAAAAAGACCGAAGTGCACGTTCCTATGGTTTTTACAATGGATTCGACACCCGTCTTTGCGCAAGCGACTGGGCAAATCTTTGCGCAAGCGACGCGAATTTCTTTGCGTAAGCGACGGTGCTGCCCTCTTCCAGCCACGTGGTTTGAAGCTTGCCAGACTGCGTCATGCGGACGTGGAGCGCAGTATAGCGCAGTCGGGGTCAGGTCAGGTCACTCAATTTTTCAATCAGGCCTCGATCAGGAGCCAGGAACTTCAGTTCTGGGTTTAAGTGTGGTAATCTGCATGTTGCGACGCTTTTTAAATATGCGGACATAGAAATAAATTAAACAGTTAAACAGATACCTCATACTACCTCTGTGAAGGGCGCGGTCGGCCCGGCCATTTAAACATGCGGAGGATGACAGGACTGGAGGGGCTGGGGCGGGCTGGGTGGCACCCAAAGCTGAATCTTGCGAATTGGACGATTGGGCAGGTGACCAAGCTCTGCTGGGGCAGCAGAGTTCGGCGGGCTTGTATCCTTGCGGCCAAACTCCCGTGTTTTGCCCTGCGTCCCTGCCTGTTTTTGTCGGATCCTGCCCTGCCTGCCCTGCCCGCCTTGGGCGTGGCCGGTTCGAGGCTCTCCCCCACTGGCTAGGAGGTCCATGCCAGGCTCCAGCCAACGGCCCTCCCTGTTTTGCGGATTTGAGCGAATCAGCATCTAATTCGCAAGATTCAGATTGGGTGTCCTGCCCTGCCATGCCTGGGTGCTGCCTGGGCTGTTCTGCATAGCTGGGCGAATTAGCGTCTAATTCGGAAGATTCAGATGTGGGTGCCGGGGCTGCCCTGCCCTACCCTACCCTGCCCCAATTCGCACAGAATGATTTGCGAGTGTTCACGGAAGAGATATACGGAATTCAATATACGGGGATTTTAATACAGATGCGGCATACTACCTCTGAGCCGCTGCCGTGTGGCCCGGTCACCAACCTCGTCGCCGTAGCCTAGAAAGTCGAAGACGAGTCTCGCAAGTGTTCGTTAAGCCTGAACCTCCTGAGTCTCAAAGCCCCATTCATGCGAGCTCCACATTGTCAGAACTTCACATCAGACCAGCCGCCACCAGAAGCATCTGCTCCAAACCTTAAAATCCTTAAGCCCGAAACCCTAAACTCCAATCTCGACCTGCTTACCGGTGACACGTGCCGGTTGGCTGTTAACGAATGACCTACAATCGCTATAGACCTTGCCAGGCTTTGTCCGAGTGTGAGTGTCAAAAAACTCCAATCCGCCGCGAAGCCCCTGAACGATTCCAGGCCTGGTGCATCGCAGAGCTGGCTGAAGCCCGGCGCATGGGAATGGCACAAAGCTTGCAGCTCCAGAACAAGCAGATCCCCGCCCTGGTTTTGGTACTGCTTTGGTATTCAAGTTTTAATATGATTAAAGATTTTGGGCTAGCAGGCCCTTGTTTCGGGCCTTGCCGCTTAGGGTGAGGCTTATTAGGGTTGGAGGCTTCTCAGGAAAAGCTTCGACTTGAGGTTCATGCAGGAAACGCTTTGAAGATTCCGGGTTTCATGCCCGTGCGAAGGAGGGAGCCTGAATTTGGATCAAACACCGTCGACGCAACGAGGGTCTCTATGTCTGAAGCCTGAGTAGAGCCAGAAGAGTACACATGGGCCACAACAACAACCGTGAGCAACAACAAAGGAAAAAACAGGACCTCCTGTTTTGCAGAGTCACGAGTTCTCCTCCGAAGTCCAGTTTGCATTGGATGATTTGGCCGAGAAATAAAAAATATTAGTTTCATACAACAGCATTCGGCCATTTGAGGTTTGGCTGTTTAAGCTGATTGTCTTGGTCGTGAGAAGACAAGCAAAAGGAACAAGCCAGACTACTACGCGTTTGAGGGCTGCAAGCCTACCTCCAGCTCGAGCGAGTGCAGTAGCAGCAGTAGCTGCCAGTGTTCTGCACATGTTAAAGTTACCGCCCCTTCTCATGTTGCCGTGAATCCTTCCTCTCCGGTTGCCACCGCCACCAACCACAAGCAGACCCGACGTTTCAACCAACATTCAGGAATCAAAGCATGGATTTGTAGGTAAATCAGAGTTGTGCTCTCGGCTCCGTAATCGTCCTGCCTCCTCTGAACACCAGAGTCGAAGCTCTAAAAGCCGACTTCAGTCGAAGCTCATGCGACAGCACCATCCGACAAGTGGCACAGACTTAGGCTTCACCGTGGTCCAAAGAAAAAGAGGGGCTGGAGCTTAGAACCAAGCCCTCCAGCCCCAGCCTCCAGGCTTCATGGGCTTTTGGTTGGGGGACCCGCGTCTGAAACTTGAGCCCCCTCTGTCCGACTAACGCTCTGAGGACGCTGATCGAAAGGCAGGCTTCCTTGCAGGACCTCCGTGTCGAGAACATGCAGGCCAGTCGGCAAGAAGATGTGGAGGAGATTCTGGCGAAAATCCCCGACGTCGCCGCATTCAACACGAGGCTGCGTGAGCTCATCTTTGACAGGAACGTCGGGCTTCTGTCTGCATGGAAAGATGCAGATGCGCAGCAGCAGATGGAGGAAGCCTCACATGTCTTGAAGTGGGCCCGTCTCTCCCAAGAAGTGGATGGCGGCGAAGCCATCTGGAAAAGCTGGCGCCTTTAAATCCGACTTAAAAGTAAGCTCGGGAAAGCCTTTTCAAGTGTAGGTGGCAGGGACCCAGAGGCACCAATGGGTGGTCCGGGAGCTGCCCCTACGGCCACAAGTGCCGGAAGCTGATAGCAGTCGCAAGACTCCTGCGAAGTCTGCATCTGTTGGTCGTTTGGACTGCTGGGAGAAATTAGGTGCACGATCCAGGGAAGTGCCGGAGGCCTGTTGTCCCAAATGGCAATTGCCGACTCCGCACGTCTCGGCTCACATGTCACTTTTCGCTGAGGTTTAGGGTTTGCGGCACATGCGGAGTGGAGCTCACCAAAGGGCGGGAACAGCTTCAGGAGGCGTATGTAATACAGAGCCAACCAATGAGATCCCTCAAAAACAACCTTGTTTCGGCTTCTTTCATTGACACACCAGCTCTGTGCTCCTAAACTGTTTAAGCCCAGTATCCCTGAGACTTCAAGCCCGGAATCATTACATCCTTGAGCCCTGAGGCACAGCCTGTGCCTCGTTCTTGGGTTTAGGGCTTTTCTGCCTTGGGTTTATGAAACAGAGCCTCTGCCGTTGCGAATGGAGCTGACTGTGGACGGCGACGCAGGGGAGCTGACGCCTGGCTGTTTAGGTAAGTTGCATGCCTCAGTACTGTCAATCCATAGGCAGCCGGAGTCGAAGGGTCTGGCGGGCAACAAAAGCCTGGGCGGGTCTGCATGCTTATGCTTCTGACAGCATTTCCTGCTTCTGCTTGAAGTTGAGTATGGATATGGCTCAACAGGGTCATCGTGTTGACTTTGGGACTCTGGGATGCCTGGGTCTTGTGCAAAAGCCCAACACTCGATTCAGAAGTGCAACAAGGGAGGGCACGCCCGGTTGGCGACTGTTCTTCCAAGGGTCAAGCAGGCAGTCAAAAAGAAGCGAGCCTTTAGTATTATTTAGAAACAGATATGGGAGTTTCCGAAAATTCGGGTACCTTATCTGGGGGTCCTTACAATAAGGATCCTACTATTTGGGGTACTATATGAGGGTCCCCCATCTTCTGAAACTCCCATATCTGACCCTGAGCCTTCAAGACTCGGCTCTGCTTGACTCGCTCAGCAATGCGGGAGGAAGGTTTCGGGGGTCCGAATGCAGCACTATGGAGCTCAGGACGCTTCAAGAGCTGAGCTCCAGCTGCAGCATCCGCGATGTGCAGCTTCGGCCAAGACACTTTTGGGTCCAAAGTTAAGAGCAAGAGGAGCCGGTTTCGTCGAGGGTTTCCCAACCGCAAAATAATTGAAACCAGGGTTTGGGATCCTGCGAGGAGTTCTTCGAAATCCAGCGCGGCCAGCAACCTTAAACCATCCTGGAGCTGCCTACCCCCTCAGCGTAAAACCTCGGAAGATCTCCGTAAGAGGCCCGGGACTCCACTCCAGTCCTTGTGATTGCAGGTGAAAGCTCTGGCAAAGGAGCACCGAAGTCCTTCCAATGTAGCGGCGTCCTCATTGAACTAAATATTCAGACCGAGACCTCTATACTCATCTTCCCCTTACCCCCCATAAACTCCATGAAGAAACGTTTCACGCAACAAACCACTTCGTCCTGCATGTACCTCGTGTGCCGACACGAAGGCAAGACGAGCTTCAGCGGCGATGTGGGGTTCCTGTTAAACAGCAGCTCGGGCACTTGGAGGAATCCAAAACTCGGGGGCACATGGCCCAGGGCTTGTTGAGGCAAGGACACTCAGCACGGTGGCACGGAGTAAGCAGAGACACCACTAGCCAGACAGCTCAGATAAATGCAGGATCCCAGGCTTCGAGTTTCGGGGTTCAGCTTCAGCATTGATGAAAAGAGTCCTACAAGTTCGGTTCGCCGACTCGCAGCAACTCCCAGCTGAAAACAGTCCCAAGTCGAGTCTTCCTAATGAGTATTACCCAGGTGCCTCAACCCTTTAGCCTGTAATCCCCAAACGGAGCTGGCCGCTTCAACCTTCGGGTTTAGGCAAGAGCTTTGTTTTTGTCGGGCATGGCTGTGGCGATGAACTCGACCTGCAACACACTGCCGCGAAGCTCAAACAAATCAACTCAAAGCTACGGCCCTAACGCGGCAATCCCATGCCGTTATGGGCATCCTGCCCACACTGTTGCACAGAAGGCCTGAGTACAGCGAGGCCGTGCTCCTGCCTCCAAAAGCCCTTTTGCTCGACCCAAAACCTTAAATCTCCGAAAGCCCTCAGCTTCTCAGAGCCTGCTTATCGGCAGATGGCAACCCAGGCAACTCCTCACCTTCAGTGGCGCTGTCTTGGGGCCTTCCCAGACCCTGGGAGCCTTGGCACTTCGGGTTTCAGCCGCCCGTAAGCCCAATGCCATGAAGCAGCCTTTGGGACTTGCTATGATCGGTATGTCTGTGGAAAGGATTACGAGGAGGGGGAAAGAGGTTCTGCATATGATCACGGTGATTATCGCGAACTCCTGTTTCCATGATGAAGACTTGCGATCATGACGACGGTGGTTACGATTACTACGACTAAGAATTACGAGAATGATGGATCACGAATACGATGCTGTCCTATGACGCTCCTTGTCTATTTCTTGGAACCTCGAGCAGCAGAGCAAGCACACTTCGGACGAAGAGCTGAGCCCCAGGCAAGTAGGGTTCGGTGTTCCCGGTGTTTGTTAGTTATTGTTATCATTGTGATTGTTGTTATTGCTTTGATCATGTAACTACTGCTCGTGTCAGTATTGTTGCTCTGACTATTGTTGTCACTGTTCTCATCATTGTAATTGTGGTTTTATTGGTGTTACTGTTGATGGAATTATTAGCAGGATTAGTGTGATTGTGATTGCAAAAGTTGTCATTGTCGTAGGAAGTATAGACACACTAAAACAAAACAGAGTTGGTACAACTAACTGAGAATCATAACAGAAAACGAATAATAACGCGCTACCTGGCAACTCGAGAACTGTATGAGCAGCAAAACAGCAGTGTACTTCGGTGGCGTTGGCCGTTAATTTTTCGAAAAGCTGCGCAGAAGCACAGCCGTATCCACCTTATGACAAGCACAGCCTGCAATTGACGGCCCCATACGGCAGAGGAGAGTTGGATGGCTCCCTGCTGCATCTGACCAGCTTCCCGGCGCCAGCAGGAGTAGGACTTGGTTTGGCTTCGCCGGCCTCAAAACAAATGCTGTCTCTTGCTTCTTGTGACCGGTCGGAAATCTTCTTTAGGGGCTTGCCCGCTTGAGCATGTGTGTACGCAGTCTTAAGGTGGGGTCCGTTGGCCAGGCGACGAAGGTGTCTACATCTCTGTTTACCTTGTACATCTCTGCATATACATGCATCGAATTGTTACGAATCCCCGCAACTCTTTGATGCGATGGGCTCAGGCTTCGCGCAGTTGGTGAAGCTTTCCCCGCTACGTCTTCCTGCCACGGAGCAACGAGGCATTCAGCTGCGCCTGGGACGATCCTTTACAATTTGCAGAGTCGTAATGGATGTTGTTGCCTGTTGAAGCAAATAATTGGTTTTGTACGTCCAGCTTCGAAAGCACGAACCAACCGGCAAATCACGACAGCTGCTGATGAGGGCAAGCACGGTCCCGGCCACGGGAAAAATACTCGCGGACAGGAACCCTCGTTAACGAAATCTTCCCTCGAATACAAGGGGCAACGCGAACGCATGGTGTTTATGCCTGGTATGTTGCACTTGCGCCGTAAACGTTAGTTTCTCAAACTAGCTTAACTTTCGACTTTCGAGCTTTCCAAACTGGGTGCCGTTTTTGCTCCAACCCGCCACTTATATAGGGGTGAATTGATGGTTGCGCTCGTTTGGGGTTGCAGCACGCCAGCAGACTTGCGCTTCGCGGCACTTCCATGCCGCGAGGTTTGGGGTGATCGCACCCAGGTCTCTGAGCACCAGATAATAGACCGAGTTGTCCAAGCTTGTTCAAAGGCGTGACATGTAATGCTTTTGACGGGGGGGGGGGGCAGGGCGGACCAAAAAATGGACAGACCAGTTTGAAGCTAGCAGTGTCTTTGAGAGCTGGGTTTGAACGCTCAATTTGCACACATGCATGGGTATAGCTCACGAGTTACAAGATGTTACAAGCAAGGTATCTGCAGCTCTTCGTTGTCTTATAAAGTCTTGCCCCCAAGCGTTTCTCGACTGTCACCAGGACTACGACCATGCTGCAGAGCTTAGGCATCAAGTTTCTTCCGGGGGGTCGGTATCAAACTGCAGCTCCAAGACAGATTTGTCCGCACCTTTTTCGTTTGAATGCCTTCCTGAACCATGAAAGGCCGGACAGGCCGCACAGTCCCCACTTTCAGACTCCGATGCCCGTGAGTCGCAAAGGATCCTGTCAGATCCAAGCAAGCCGCCACAGACTCCAGTTGTTGGACCAGGTGTTGAATAGAAGGTTCCAGCGGCAAGAAAGGTTGCACAAGTCGACCACGATGTTGGTTGTCAGACTCCCCTGACCCTGAATCTGGGAAGGGAACGAGTTAGTGCGAATATGGAAGGGAGGCTTCCGGCAAAGTCGAGCAATACTTTCATGCAGACCTCTACCTAGTGCTCTAGCTCTGTGTACTTGTGTGTGTGTTTGTCTCTGTTCTTGTTTTCGTTCCTTCGTCCACAACGCGCCAGTGACCGCAAAGATTTGCCTTCAAGGAGGTGCAAAGATCGGCAGCAGACTTGGCAACCGCATGCTTCGTGAAGGCTTACAGGCTTCAACGCGCAGTCCCCATCATGCATTTGAGCGAGGCGCTTCCGGCAACTCCTGATCCCAGAGCCCACAACCACAAGTTAGAGCACCCAGAAGGCCTCGATCTGAAAAGTCTGCAACCTGCTTCCAACACGCTCGCAGTCAACGGCAATCAGAGCTTCATGGATTAGCAGCCATTCGATTCCCTCTTTGGGCAATCCCAGGAGCCAACTGGAGGCATTGATTCGATTTTTGGCAGAAAGGTGCGACATCTTCTCCAGTTGAAGACTCGGGCTTCACGGGCGTCAGGGTTGACTCGCGATTCTGCAATGGAATTCTAGTGCTACTTGTTCTTGGCAAAGCTTGGCATCAGCACGGATTAAACAAACCTAGCGTACACGGCGAAATTTGTAACTTTGATTGAGAGTCTATTGAGAGCATGGGGCGAACTCTCTGCAAGGATTTGTTGGTTTCACTCTGAACCCGAGATTGCTTTTGACAGGCCGGGTATAGTTCATGAGTTCTCGAAAATCCTAGCATGCTACACACTTGAGTTAGGCTTCGTTTTGAGAGAATCGGATCTTCTCCCGAATTTCGGGCATGCTACCGAAACCAGATGAATACGAGCCACGACCACTGCCGCAATGAATGGACCACCCCAAAACCCGAAATCCCACAACCTAACAACAAAGAAGAGAACGTAAACCCTACTTGTTGCAGGCTGGGTCCCCGGGCCCCCCAACGCCCGAAGTCCTTCGCCAGGTCCTGTCCCTATGGCCTGGTCCCGTGGCGCGACCGCTGGGGCTCGAAGATTGCCCTGAAGGCCGCAAGAATGCTAGGATTAAGTATATAAATGTACCACCAAATCCTTGTTCGAATTATAAAGGCCCCTATATGAAGCAGGCTTAAGAGTTATGACTTCTAGTCATTCTAGTCATCGTTATTGTGCTTCCGAGATGATGGGAGCTTGGTTCTTGCAGCTACTGAAGGCCTCACCGTCAATATTGCTTGAGGGCGCCAGGTAACGTGTTGGTTCTGCGGGCAGTGTAGGTTGTAAGGTTTTGAACTTAGGGTAAAGGAGTGGCGGCGAAGCTCTTCCAAGAGCAGGATTCTGTAGGCTATGTCTCCCAAGTCGAAAAGTGCATCATTTGGAGTGCGAAAGTCTTGGCCTGGCGATGCTGTTTGCTGCCGATTTTGTATGTGTACTGAGACAGTGTATAGGGCCCTAAACCCAAACCTGACCCTTTGGGACATCACACTTTTGGCTCTGCCCAGATTACTCGTTTGTTTGGGGAGAAGGGGATCATCTGAGATCATTCACCGCTTGCTTGTTCTATTGGTGCCTCACCGGGAGCATCGAGATCCGTTGCGTCGTACTGGATGTAGCCAGATCCCGTAAGCCTCTGGAGAACTTTGGTGAAGCCAAGTCAGCAACCATCTCGACAAGCTGAGACTCGAAGATCCCGATTGGGCTTAAGCCAGAGGCAAGACAGTTGGAACATCATTCTCCTCGTACCCTTAGTACATACATAAAGGGAAGTCCAGCATTAATTATTCTTAACCAACGAAGCCTTAAACCCCGAAAGCCCCATGCCCTGAGCTGTGCAGCTATTGATTTCTGTACTGAGCCTACGTCATCCGATGTCCAACGCAGGAACATCGTCAAAGCTTCCCAAATGCCCATGCCCCGGGGGAACCCTTTCCAACCTCCCACGCGCCCTTTCGAGGACGTGAACCTTTACCACCTCGCTGAGCCCTGGCTTGGAGAAGGGGCTCCTCTCCTCTCTCAGAGTGTCGGTGAACCCTCATGAAGCTACTTGAAACCTACCCTTGGTGTTTCTGCGGGTCCTGATGACCTTGTATGAGCTCTTGAACGGGTAGGTTCTTTGGGGTTAAGTCAGGCTTTAGGCTACAATGACGGATGTTGTGGGTATGATGGCCATGGTACAAGTCAAGTACTACGATGCTCATGTTCAGAGTGTTCTAAACTTGGCATGAAGATCAGATATTCTGGCCATTACAACTCGTGTTTTGTCATGGTCAGTGTTGCTGCTGTTGTGCGTGGACGGAGTGGTTAGACTTTACATCCGCGTTTTCTGTGGTGATATCCATCATCCGCGTCGCGCCCCCATGGGGGTGCAGCGACCAGGAGGCCACACATGGGATTCTTTCAGTACAGGTTTGTTGTGCTCCGCCGTTTGTAAGTAAAGCCAGAAAAATCCTGAGGTCTTAAAGCCTCGTGGACTTGTAAAAGTTGCTTGGAGCCCCTTGTGCAAACACCAGCTGTGCGCAACGTTGGTCTTAGGGTTGAGGGTGAGGGTTCAAAGTTGAGGCAATGCCCACTGCCCCAGGCCTTCCGGACATGCTCAGCCCAAACACCCAACCTCATAGTTTGTGGCACGTAAGGCGGCTCGCAGCTTGCGACCTCACTCCCACGTCGATGCTCCATATAAGCACCTTCCTAGTCTCTTGGGCCGAGGACTGGGTAATCTGTCCATCCACCGCAGAGGACCACAGTTCACATCGGTCTCGGGTCGTCGGACGGGCTCCATTGCACTCAATAGCAGTAGCAGCTGAATCTTCAACGTCCTGACCTTCTTTGAATTCCGCGGGGGCCAGGCTTTGTCCGGCGAGAAAGGAGAGTTGTTGACTAGATCCAGTTTTCGTTTCAACAACCCTGTGAGAAAAGCCTGGAATGCCCGAAGACCCTGAGCCCCATCAAACCCAAGCCTTCGACTAAAATCCAAAGCCCTCCCACCTAACAGTTCTTCACGTGTAGCATTGCAATTCCTTCAACAATCCCTGTGCGGAAATGTGTGGAAAAGAAGCTTTGAGATTCTGCCTACACCGCACACTTCGCACCTTGCTGCAACTCGGAGGTCCCCGGCTCGATTTTTCCAGAGACAACGGTGTTGCTTTCCTTCGCCATGGGATTTAAAAGCTCAGTCTCGCCTGCCCCGGTATCAGACATGTCCGGTACGCCCACTTATAGTCCTTTAGCATGTTTTCAATTTTGTGTGTATAAAATCCAAGAGAATATTACAAATTAGTATTTTATTACAGCAGGACAAGTGCAGCTATGTGGAGCTCATCGCGTCTGACGCCGAGGTGCCAGAGTCTAGTCCTGCTTTTGCAGCACTGACTTGTTTGCCGTAGGGTTTAGGGTTCTATGTGTTATTTGCTCTGCTAGCTTAAATAGTCATCTTCTACCCCCCAGTTACCGCACATCCTACGTTCGCAGGGACCCTTCAACTGCCGACCCCAAGCACCTTTCGTGTAAGATCCATGTTGTTTTTTGAGAGCCCGATGCTTTCGGCCAAATCGCAAGCGTTGCCGTAGCTTGCACGGAAGCATAGTTGCTGTGTGAGTCTCACGTCGCAAAGTTTTGGCTTGAACAGTAGGTGCAGCACCGCTCTTGTTTTCCAGCCGTGCGCTCCGAAGTTCAGGGAAATGCCGATGGTCTCGTTGACAAGGCTTGCTATCCAGGCGCGTGGGTTTAGGTTTCATGATGGGTTTAAGTGGTTGCAGGCTATACGGTATGATGTCTATGCGGCTGCCAGGTTAGCCACAAGGCTCCGCACGTTTGCAGGAAGGAAACCATTTTCGGAATGGCAGGGATCCTTGTCTGCATGATGCTGTGTAGGGTAGGAGTCTTGGGCGAGTTTGGGCTTCGGTGACTGTACTGCCCCTCGCAAAACCCTAAAAGCCGAAACCGCGTGTTTGATGGGAGGTGTTCCGAAACAAGCCCGGAAGCTGTCAAACCAGTTGTAGTCAGTTTCGATGTTTCCTGTTTTGAACCCCAAACCCCGGAGGTCCTGGGATATTTAGCTTCAACCTCACAGCGATCGCCCCCTCACGTCGACTTCATACCCTAGAAGGCCTTAAGCCCAAGCCCAGCTAGGGCCCCCTAAATCCTCGCGAGCACACCCGAAGCACCTTTTACCCCCAGCCCCCACCCCCTTTGGTTTGAAGGCGCATGGCTCAGTCCGAAGAGGCTGGATGAAGTATGAAGCAATTGAAGTTTCAGGAGATCAGGAGGTTTGTGGCTCCGTTGCTTTGCGCAAGTCTTTAGAGTTCCATGACTTTTTGAGGAGACGAGGGCTCAGTCAGGTTTCAGGTTAAGTTCCTGGTGTTTTGAGCTCGTGTATTGCCGCAAGGAGTTGCCAGATCATATACAGCTGAACAGGCATTTGCTGAGGAACTCTGCCACAATCAAGATGTCGATAGCGCTTTCAGGGCTACACCCGCGGAAAGCCCTACATAACGCCACACTTACAAGCCCCGAGCCCCAGATCCTAAATCCTAAGCTCTCGGACCGGAACCCCAAGCCTCTCGAACCTAAATCCTGAAATCAATCGGGCCAAAGTAAATTTCCCAGATCCTAATCCACCCTAAAAACCCCAAATTTCTGAACTTGTGCATGCTATGCTCTCAAGGCCCGACTTGCCCTAAAGGCCCCCACAGGCCCTGAGCCCTGGGTCCGAGATCCGAACCCCAAAAACCCGACAAATGAGTCCCAACCCTCAAGCCCTAAAAGGCCTCCGAAAATCCTAAGTCAAACGCCGGTAGAGACCTTCAAAAACGGTCCTAAGCCCAAGGGGCCCTGACTTTGGGTCCTGAAAACAAGGGTCCTACTATTTAGGGTACTACTAATTTGGGTCCCCTATTCTCCCGAGTCCTTCCTGGCTTCACCAGGTCTCCGCTTCATGTCCGCTGGCCTGTCCCCTGGGACCTCGGATCGGGGTCAGGGGCGAGGAGCTGCGATTGACCAATTGCTTTTTGGGGGCTTAGGGGCTGTAGAGTTTGGGGTTTTGGGGTTTAGGGTTAGGGGTTTAGGGGCTAAGTGTAGGGCTTCGACTCGGGTTGTTGGGGGCTTAAGGCCTTGAGGAACTTGAGGAGTCGAAGGGTTACGGTTTGTCGGGTTTTAGAAGTTTAGGGCCTACAGTGTTCAGGGCTTAAAAGCCAGGGCCTGTAAAGGGGCTTGGGGTTCAGGGTCCAGGGTGTCGCTAGTTGTGAAGTGTTTTGTTAAGGGCTCATGCTTTAGATCTCAAGATTGAGGTGGGGATTTCCGAAAATAGGGGTACCTTATGTTGGGGTCCTTATAATTATAATAAGGATCCTACTATTTCGGGTACTATATCAAAGTCCCCTAATTTCGGAAAGTCCCGGGTTGAAATGCCGCAAAGGCCCCTGCCCTTCTGTCGTTTTTTCTGGTGGATGCCCATTCCTGGGCTGAAGCGCAATGAAAGCAACGACCTGTGTTTGCAGGTGTTTGGTCCTAGGACGTCGTATTCGTTCTAGCCGTGACACTCGGAGCCAGGGCAGAGGTCAACTAAGAATGGGCCGGAACGGAGTGGAGGTAGCACAGCTCAAAAGAATTAGGTGATTTTTTGAGCTTGGCCCTTCCAGGACGTCTGTATGAGAACATTACAGACGCTTAGCTGGCATTGGCTGTTTTCTTCAGACCTTCGGTTGGGAGAACAAATGCCAGTGCATGTCGGCTCTAGTTGGCATTCATCTGCCTCCACTCTTCTTGGTGATTTGCAAGACGTTCAGTTTCCGAAATAGAGGATCCAAATATGGTACCCTAGGTAGTAGGATCCTGAATAATTATAAGGACCCCCAAATAAGCTGCCCCTGATGTCGGAAACTCCCAAATGTCTCACCGGAGTTTTCTTCGGCTTCGATGGGACTCCCGGGGCCTGATTGGTAGTTGGTTCTTGAGGCTAGGGTAAGCCTTGAGGAAGTTCGCTTAACCTTGTGTTGCTTGTTTCTGCATGTCTAGGCTACGGTCTTCTTGCATGAGAGTTTAGGCAACGATCTGATGGCTGCTGTACTGCCGGTGCTGCACATGAGCCATGTGCAAAAGGCTGTATTGAAGCCTTGTATACCTTTGAACACTGAAGCCCAACTCACAGATCTCATGTCGACAAGGAAACCGTGGGCAACACGCCCTGCGTGAAGATTTCAGATGCGATTTCCCCACTTGGGCGAACCATCTACGGCAAGCTGGAGTTCTTTAACCCGCTCTCCAGCGCCGCCCAGCTCATCCGAGATTTCTTCCTCAAAGGATTTGTTGGACTTAGCGGCGCCCTGAGCCCGAAGAAGAGAACCAACCTTGACATAAATAGGGATTCGGACAAGGCTTCGTAGAATTTTTTGGCAGTTTGCAATACAAGCCCTAAGAAATCGTGTAAGTGAGTCCTCAAACTTCTTTATTATCTTCAGGACTGCTTTTCCCCACAGTCCTGGCTGAGACTCCCTTGTCTTGGAGGTCAAGGATCGTTTGGCCTGCGGCATCATTGAGGCCCAGAGTCTTTAACTCGAGGGGCTCGAGAGGGTTTGACTGAGCTGTTACATGGTTTGCATTAGGATGTGCATGGTTCCTTGTTTGGCGTGTTTTTCGGGTTTGGATATATCGTCCTGCTGTGGAGGTCTTTGGTGTGACTTTCCCATCGCATCAGACAAATTCGGGGTTGTTTAACCTTTCTGGACGCGTTCTAACTTGTCGCTTTTGCAAGGCGTTGAGCACCATTGCCATGGTGATGTGTGCTCTTCTCCGTCGTGCCCAGCCCGTTCCACTCTGTCATGCCATTTTGGAATCTGTTGGAGTTGCTGTTGCTGTGAATCTGTGAATCCTCAACCCCGAGATGTTGCAGAAGAATGACTAAGGCTCCACGCTTGTGTTGGGAAGGATGAACTTGACCACCGCGGATTTGAACACAGTTCTTGCTAAGCAGCTTAACCTCCGCACAAAATTTAAAGAATAGCGAGCATTGTCACTTTGCAGTTGGAGTCATGAGCCCTCTGTTCAAACCCTCCACAGGGTCTGCAAACCTGCTTGCTGAAGACGTTCTGATGAAACGGCTTGTGACAAAACGGCCACTTTGTAGCTGCAATCGCCCTTCCTTCTGGGTCCCTATTTGTCTTCCAGTGGAACCAACAATGTTGGAATATGGGAACACTGCAACTCTTCCGCGAACACCGCTGTCGTGATCATGCAGGAGCGAATCTTTGTTGCTTCTCCAAAAGGCACTCAGGCGGCTTAAGGAGCCTTGAGCAAAGATGCGCAGCTTGCACGAGCATAAATAGTCCTTCACGTGGGTCTATGCCTTCAAGCCTTCCGTGGCTACATCATCCACCTAGGGATCACCAGAAACCAATCTCGAAGTCCAAATCCTGAAACCCGAAGCCGCCCTCCGGTGCAGGATGCGGAGAAGAAGGGACAGCTGAAGCCTGGTGACACGGTCATCGAAGTTCATTGGATGCATTCACAGCGTGAAAATCCCCCCCAAACCGCAAAGCCGTGAACCCTACACCACGCACCTCGTCCGGATTGCCGAAGTTGTGTGAGTCGAAACCCCCTAAGCCAGAGATCCCTCAGCCCCAAAAGGGCCCAAACTCCCGTTCAAACTGTGCCAAGGCCTCCTCTGGAAACACGGGCATCGGTGTGGCCATGTTGTGTGCACAGCGCGGATACAAGCAGCACAGCAGCAAAAGGAGGGGTTTCGGGGTTAGGGCTTAGGGCTCTCGGGTTTAGGATTGAAGACTTGGGGGGTACTCAGGGACTCAGGACTTTGCATCGGGGGTTTTGCGCGCTTTCGAGCTATCAGCAAAGCCAGAACAAGAGCCGAAATAGAATAGATGAGGAGGAGTCATGGTGAGTACATTGAAGTCGCTTCTTCGCGTAGCTGTGTGGCGTAGGCTTAACCCGAACTCGTTGGCAAATCTTTAGACAATGACCATGAGCGCCCATGTGAACCCGAGAAACGGGGCTGAGGGAAGGAGAAGATGGTAATGCATCTAGGGGAAAAGCATGGCTTCCCAAATACGGGTGCAGATTCGGAAGTCTTGGGTTCGGTTTGTTCTCAGGGTTGCACCTACGAGTCACGCGGATGATACAGCGAGAGTTGAAATGCGCATAGCTCTCTGGTGTGCCCCAGAAGCATGCATTCCTGTTTGCATCATCTCAGAACATCGTGGATGCCTGCGATTTTGATAAACGCGAGACGGGAATAAACCCTGCACCCTCAACCCTACACCTCAGACCGTAAACTATAGACTGGAACAAGAGTCGCCGAGAACTTAGGATTCGGGCTTCGGGAAGC